AGAAATAATGTTTTTCACATTCATATAAATAATATATTTCTGTCTTTATATGTATTACAAACATTAGTACAATGGTCATAAACTGGTTTATGAACAGAGCTGAAATGAATATGCATTCATCATTATGATGCAGGCAGGCTGGGTCCGAGAATCTAGTGGAAGATCCTATAGGACTAGCCAAGAGGGCCCTTGGCTTCGTGAAGGATAGAAATCAAATGCATGCAGAGGAAGTGGAAAGAGAGTTTGTTAGCATGAGGGACAGGCAAAGAATAGCATACGGAGCATCCAGGAGACTTAGGAAAGGAAAATGAGTCTCTCATTTGCTTGGGGCTAAAGGTTTATTTTGGAAAAGGGTCTAGGGTCCGTGTTCCTCCAGGAATCCAGGACAAGGTCCAATCAAAGGCGAGTGCCGGGTGAACAATAGGGGTTCTTCCATAAATTACCCGAGGCAGGGGTATGGATGCCAGAGTCAACCGAGGTTTATTTGAAGCTAATGTCCCAGAACATGTTCAGGATCTGGCTCTTCTTGGATGTTATTAGGTGTTTGAGGGCCTAGAACAAACTCAGAGAATGACTGACTCACTCGCTTCCTCCCTGAAGTGGGAACAAAGCTTCTCGGGCTAATTCGGAGGCAAAATACTGAACAGGAGTCAATGGGGCCTAGCAGAAAAGGAACAGACACAGAGCCTTCCTCAAATGGAGTCCCTTCAGCCCCGCAACCTCAACAGTTTTCATAGAAATCACCTTTCATTTTTTTGCAGTCCTATTCCCCAGATACATACTGCGTATCTGTGTCTGTATCTGTGTTGCTCAGCCTGGGCCTGTCTTCTCATCTCTACGTTACAACAGTCACACAACCAGCATCAGTCTGGGAATAGACACAATGGACAGGACAAATGTCATGAGGCCATAATGAAGAGTAACTCATTGACGGTCATCATCAAGTTTGCCTTGTGTCTAGAACGATAGGTTTTGCAAAAGGATTGGGAAGCATGGGTTGATGGTTAAGAAGTGCTCAGGTAAGACAGCCATTGTTTAAAAACAAAAGAAGGAGAGGAGAGAGAGTGGGGAATCATTTTAACTGGGGGTGTTCAGGAAAAGCCCCTCTGAGTAAAGGGATACAGAAGTTGAAGCCTGAGTAAAGAGCATGAACTCGCCCCTCACAGGTCTGGGGAAGGAGTGGGGTCAGAGGAAGAGAAACTGTCAAGTGCAAAGCTCAGAGATGAAAAGGAGTTCATGAACTCCAGGAAAGGAAGCTTGGCCAAAGCTGTTTCAGCCTGAGTCAGGGCACCAGGGGTAGGATGTGGGGTTGGTTTATGGCTTTATAGGACACGGTAAGGGTGTGGGATTTTATTCTAAGAGCAGTGTAAGCCGTGAGATGTTTTAAATAAGGGAATGGCATGATCTGATTTTTTGTTATTATTTTTTTAATCAGTGTGGCTTCTATATGCAAATTACATGGTGGAATTTTTAAAAATTACTTAATAACAGACACAGACATCAAAGAACCCTGTTTATGTATCCTATATGTATGTCCATTCTAGAGCCATTAGCATTTAATATTACATATATTTCTCGTTTTATAACTATATTTTTGAATTGAAAAATATATTGCTATTTTGGCTTAATATTTATTAAAAATGCAAAATATTTGTGGGAGAAAGGTACTCATTGGATTAGCATTATAGGATATTCCTTTGCTCAGCATACCTCATGAAAAGCTAGAAATAAAAAACGTGCTTGCCCTTGTGTGTGTGTGTGTGTGTGTGTGTGCTTGTGTGTGTGTGTCTGTGCATTTCTTTGTTCTGGGTGTTTGGATGTTTGCTTGGTTAGTTGATTTGGCAGAAATAGACTTGCTGAACCAGTTGTCCAACTGTTTTTCTAGTTCATGTTTGTGAAGCTAGACACTAAAAATTTCAATTGAATCTAATAGCAGTGTTTTCGTACAGAGGAAAACAGGAATTGTAAACTCAAAGTATTCTAGGGACTGGCCAGCAGTTGTGTGAATCACACCTACTGTAAGACCATAGGAGAGGCTGGGCCTGTGGCCACAATGAGGAATATATGGTGTCTCTACATGCACTCAAATTCAAAATTTTGAAACTCTTGGGCTTAAATATCTGCAGACTTAATTGGCCCAAGGGTACAGATCGGGGTCCCTTGTTCAAAGATGTTTAGAGCTTCCGAAGGACAAAACTGACAAAATTGATGGTGGGGAAGGGAAAGTATGTGATTCTAGAGATTTCAACAATGTAATTTCTCTGTTTCTTAAAATAGATGAGGATCATTTTCTCCGATGTTAATTGGCAAGTGCAGAAACATGAAAGCATTTTGGATATAGGCTTACCTTAAGACAGGAAAGCTATTCTGTTAGTAGGTGGTGGTTATGTTTACCCTCAGAGAGCCAGGTTATCATCTGGAAATGTTTTAATTCCTTATTTGTGTTGCTCTGTTATTTAACATGTGAACAAGGGTGATGTTTGGGACACAGAATATGATTTTATGGATGTTAATGCACCAAGAAAGCCCTATATAGGCCTTTTCATCCAATTACGAACTCAACTATTTGATTTTTAACGTGGTTCATGTTTTGAATATTATTAAAAGTGAATTTCTAAGGTAAAGGAAATTGGGGGCTGAGTTAGAGCAGGTTATCTTGTTCCGTGAAATTTCCAAGGATAAAGAGAGAGATTCATAAACATACAGGTTGTCTGATATTCCCTCCAGGTAGTAAAGCAATCAAAGCCTGACAGGTACAGGTATGTTGAAGTAGATCATGGACTTTTGCAGTAGCATTATTGAAGGATATTAGTAATGTAATGAGACAGAATTTTGGTTAGGACAGGTAATTAAGTAAAGAGACAAAATAATTTTCGGGGAGACCTGCTGGTTTCATTGCTTGATGCCCGAGAGATTAATCCATTCTACTTTCGTGATAGACAACAAATAAGTAATCAAACATTTTTTTTAAATGACCGACCTTTGTGACACGTGAGATTGATTTCAGGTGTCTGCAGGTTTAATGCATACTGGATCATACAAAAGCAATTATGGCTGAGAATGTTGTGTATTTTATTCTAAGTCTTTAATGATTAGTTACCTACCTTTGGCACCTACATTAACTCCTGCAGATAAAGAATTGTTCATTTACTAAAATACTTCAGCTTTTTTCCCTAGGGTAATACTTTAGTGTTTTTACATACAATGTTCAATGATCACTGAGTTTATTTTTGATAATCCTACCCCAAGGTCACTTTTGATGCAATATAGGCCCTTTACTGACATAGGGTTTATACTGTGGTAGAAAAATACCAAGAAGAAACATGCTGTTAACATCTAATGAGAGAGGTGATTTGTAATATGAACACTTATAAAGCTGTATTTTCAACTAAAGGAGTAAACATTTGTTTCAAAGTGGATAAAAGCAAATTAGAAGATCTAGTTAAGATTTGGAATATGCATATGTATGAAATATTTAACAAACTGTATAGCAATATCATGATATTCATACTATTAAAGTTAATAATAGTAACATTAATATTGTTTTAAATATATTAATTCCCTTAAAATGAATTAGTTCTTGACAATAGAGTATTATTGACAAGACTGATGAGAAAAGCCAGCTCCAACCAGAAGTCTGTCTAGAGATTAGCTGACAATATAAAGCAGTGAGAGGCTAACTTATTCTTTTGTGAGAAGACCATGAGATGTGACTGATAATTCAGTCTCTGCCACAGTGGGTTGCTGCACATAATTATCCTTAGGCCTTGTCAGACCTAAGAGGAAGGCCTAATACACCATAGGAAATTAGGTTCTGTGTGCTTAATGTCCCATCAGAGCATGGGAAAGCAAGACGTTTTGCAGACTGAGATTATACTAAGGTTTTTGGTTTGGGTTTTTGTTTTGTTTTGTTTTATTGTTGTTTTTAATGCTTTTCTACCATTACAATTCTGAAAAGTATTGAGAAGTCATACATGATCTCGCTTGGATTAGTCTACCTTCCTCTGGGATTCACACTCATTTATAGCTTATCAAATAACTTAAAATATAAGAGGGGAAAGGCTAATGGGCAGGCACTGATTAAAGTTGACCTTTTCATATCCCCAAGAAACTACTGCTCAAGAAGAATAAGCCCTAAAGAGCCATTTGCAAATCAGTGTTTCACTCCAGTCTTTAGTGTTGTTACTAGGAACGAATTTGTGATTGCATTTGTCGCCTGTCCATATTTGGGAAAATGCGGGATGCTCAGGGTTATAACCAGTGATTATGTAGTAAAACACCTAAGATTCTGATTATAGCACACGTATTGCTTGTATCACCATCAAATGAAGTGAGGTTCTATCTATCAGTACTGAAACAGTGAACTGGAAGTGAGGAGAACTCATTTTATAAGGTCTAGCAGAGCAAAGGAGATTGCTTGTTATCTGTTATTAGTTTGGTTTTTAATGCATCTCATTATCATAGCTCATTTGTTCTGGGTGGAATCTCAATCTTTTTTAGGAAAATGGGACTCCCCCCTAAGACTGATAGAATGTTTTGTCCTTTCTCACCTGTGATTTCGGCATAGCAAATACAGAAATGAGGGACAGTCCATGTTCAGAGACCCTGGTCTATGAAAAGTGGGAGTGGGGCATGGAGGGTAAAGTAAAATTGTGGAATGCAATGTAACAAGTGCTGTCCCTTAGGAAGGTAACTGTAAGGTCTTCCTGGGACCTGGAGAGCTCTCGGGGGACACCAGCAAAAGGAGGCCTAGTATCTGGGCATGCACCAAGATGTTGCTACTGACACGGACCAGAGTAACATGTCTTTACAGGTACTTCAGCTGTTAAACTACACTGATAATGGGTTTCAGAAAGGGATTTCTAGCCACTCCTGCAATTTTTTTTTTTTTTAAGTTTTGCCTTTTTCACTTAAAAGTATTCAGACCCATGGATCTCTCAAGAATAGATATCTTTTGAATAATTCATTCGTTAAAAACAAACATCAGATACTAGTCATCCTTAATTTTGCATTCCTTTTATTTAGTCTGCATTGAACAATGCAGATTTAACTACAACAAAGAACATAACATCTAAGTTTTCAGTTAGAGCCCTTCGGTGAAAGCTTTGGGATAAAGCAATTGTAACTTCCAAGTAATCAGGCCAACTCCGAATTAGTATTAACCAGAACTATCATACATGTAAAGGAGAGTTATCCTCTCTAATATGGGGGGAAGCATACAGAAAACACGGCAAAGTGGACAGTATGAATAACAATGAAAAATATGAGTAGAACAGGTGGCAGGAAATAGCACAGGGAAGAAAACTCTGTAAAAAGAGTCAAGTATCCATTTAAGATGTAAACACCTCATAAGAGGAATAATTCAATTTCCAAGTTTCAGCTCTCTCCTTGTATTAAATGCTACTTTTTCCTCTGTTACTAGACGTTGGTTTTTCTTCTCCAGAGTAAGACCACCTGGTTATTTGGGTGTTTATGCTTCTGTTAATTATAGTTTAGTCTATGATACAAATTTTTACGTGTCCACAACTTCAAGGCTTAATAATAAATTAGGTAGTAGCTCTCAAGAAAATGTGATAAGCCCCACCTTCCTACTGATTTTTAAATCTCTCATGGGTATATATATTAGGGCTAACTGGCTTTATTATAAAAAGTAAAATGAGTAATAACTAGCTGAGCAGAGAATTCTCTACGTACCTGGGTCTCAGTTATTCTAACACAGTGATAGGTAAGTAGATATGCAAATAAGAAAACTGAAAGGCATGTTAAATGTTAGCGAGACTAAGATTTTTAAGTCCTGATTCTGGCTGACCACATAGATACCATCCGTATATGAGGCTAGTCACCAGGAACCTGGGAACTTTACTGCATGAAGCTCTCTGCTACTTATGAGAAGTCCAACGCTGTGCAGAATTCACCCAGATAAACTGGTCCCTAGACACTGATTTTTAGAAAGACTATGAGAGAATTACTTAGATTCATATTCAGGGTGTAAAGACTATCAAGAAACAGGAAGGTATTGAGAGAAGCTGAGTCTTACTGGGGCAGCCTTCAGTAACCTGGCTGATCCCAGAACTGTCGCAGCAACATCGTCTGGCTCAAGGCCAGGCCAGAATACTGCTGATGTCTGAATGGTGGGATAAGTGAAACATCTCACCAGATGCATTCCTGGGTTTTTCAGGCAGCATAGCTTAAAAAAAAAAAAAAAAAAAAATCTAGTACAAGTTGAGACTTACCCTGTTAGCACTAGCATTATGAAATATTTCCAAAACACTAAAACAATGCTTAACCTAATACAGCATTCTATTGTCCCCAAAATAGGATTTTGTATTTTAAATGGCTTACCAAAACATGTATCTTATAATTTTAAGGTAAACTTCTTTATTTTCTTACACAACCAAAAATCTTAAACTATCTTAGTACATTACCATGTTAACAGGGCATAGTTTAGTCTTTATGTGCAGTTTTCACATTGTTTAACCCAATATTTTAAAAAAAATGTAGTTAACATATTGTAGACAGTTTTAATATTGCTGCATATTCTTTGTAATCTTATTTGGTATAATATAACCATGTTCAGAGCTATTTTCGTGTATTTACAGTGAATAAAAGTCAACAGACCCACCCCTTCCTCCCCTTACCCCCCCCCATTAAAGATAAAAACAAACAAGAAAAGATAAAAAGACAACAAGATGAAATGAGATAAAGTTCGGGGAGGGAAACTCTAATCATTCAAGTGTAGGGATGCAGAAGTCAGCTTTTTGCATCCATTCTCCATGCTACAGAAAAACTTTGAGACTACTGCTAAGTATTTCCTAAAACCTTTCAAGAAGCTCCAGTAGATTTCTGAATTTGTTCCTTTAAAATTAGGATGCTCTGCCTTTGCTCAGGAGGCAGCATGGCAATCTGATCTGCAGTCAGCTGAAGAACCTGCATGATCAAAGCTGCCTTTTCTTGATCCTGTGGAGTTACCTGGCTCTGCCCAGGACTGAAACTGCTAGGCTGGCCTCCACCTTGCTTGCCTGCCCCCTGCATGCCTGTCCCCTGTATGCCTGCTCCCTGCATGCCCACTGCTTGTATGCCCGCCCCCTGCATGCCTGTCCCTTGTATGCCTGCCCCTTGCATGCCTGCCCCTTGCATGCCCGCCCCCTGCATGCCTGTCCCTTGTATGCCTGCCCCTTGCATGCCTGCCCCTTGCATGCCTGCCCCTTGCATGCCTGCCCCTTGCATGCCTGCCCCTTGCATGCCTGCCCCTTGCATGCCTGCCCCCTGCATGCCAGCTCCAGGATTTCCCACCCCTGAAATGCTTGAGACCTGCCTAGGTCCCTGAGGACCACCTGCCCCCATATTAATGGGCCCAGGTCCCTGGATTCCACCAGTCATAGGGCCTCTGGAACTGGGGCCAGGGCCCCGTATCTCCATCCCTCTTCCGTCTATGCCTCTCGCTTCCATCCCTCTGGTTTCCATTGCACAGGTCTCCATTCCTCTTCTCTCCATTACTCGTGTCTCTAAGACTTCAGTCTCCATGGCTCGAGTCTCCATGCCTCGAGAATCTCTACTACCTCTGCCATCCATAGGGAGACCCCTCTGATCTATCATGGGTCCCCTGGGCTCTCCCATCAGCAGTCTGGGATCTGCTAACGGCCCTCCCCTCATCTCATGGGAGGAAGGGCCGCGGCCGTCATGACCAGAGGCATGGTGCATGGGGGGACCCTGATGAGGTGGGCCAAGATAGCCTCTGGGCTCTACTTCTCCAGTGACTGAAAGCAAAGTCCCTCCACGTGGGTCGTTTGGAGCATCTCCCAACAGTCCTCGAGGAGGCAGGCCCCCGGCAGTCATGGGCCCACGAGGTATAGGAGCTCTAGGATCCGACATCTGCACCTGTCCCCGCTCTAAAGGCACTGGACCCACGCCTGGCATTCCAACCTGGGGCTGCATTCCTCCACCAGGGGTTAAGGCACCAGGCCCCGGTCCGGGAACCGCGGCTGGAATCGGGCCCGGGGCCGGCATCCCCCCCTGGATAGGGGTCTGCATCAGAGGAGGGATGTCTTTGACTGGTCTTCTGGCCATGTGCTGGGGCTGCGGGGCGGGAGGGTTCTGCTGGTTGAGCAGGACGTTGGGGCCGGGGCAGAGCCCGGGGCCGGGGCCAGGGCCGGAGACAGGCTGGGATTTGCCCGGGATCAGCGGTGTGACATGTATCTTGCGGTGCAGGATCTTCAGCGCGATCTCGGGGTCCATGATCCTCATGACCACCTGGGCCTGCAGCAGCGCGTAGGCCAGCTGCGGGTTCTGGAGCAGCATGTTCCGCGCCTCCTGGTGACTGTTCTGCACACACAGCTTCATCTGCTTCATGAGCTCAAACATCTGCTCCGGGGGCAGGCTGGCCACCGCCCTGGTGATGGACTCGGGGGCGTCCTCGGGGTCGATGGGGTCCCCGTACGGGGAGTCGATGATGGGCGCCGCAGGCCCCAGGCTCTTGAGCTCCTCCTTGTTCTTCTCGCTGGCGGCGTTGTCCACCCGCAGGGCCCGGCCGCTGAATTCGCGCCCGTTGAGGTTGCGCATGGCACTGAGAGCGGTCTCCTGGTCCTGGTACTCGCAGAAGCCGTAGCCCTTGGGCTTGCCCGTCTCGCGGTCGTACACCAGCCGGAAGCTGACCACCGAACCCACCTCCGAGAAAATGTCCTTCAGCTGCTCCTCGGTGGCCTCGTACGGAATGTTCCCCACGAACACGGAACGCAGCGACCGATCCATCGCCGGGTCTCTCACCGCCAAACTCGACATGATTCCGGGTGGGCGCCCAGCAGAGAGCCGATTCTTCCAGGAGTCGTCCTCTGGCGACCCACACTTCCGCTGAGCAACGGAAGCTGCTCTCCTGCCCCGTGCGGAAACCTCAGCGCCGCGACCGAATCGTTCCGCCCACCTGCGGAAGCCGCACCACCTGTGTGTTCCCCTCACTACCTCAGCTAGTGCTTTCTGCCGCTGGGCTTTCGTGATTCGGTGAGCTCCTGGTTACCGAGAAGGACGAGTCCCTTCTCTCTTATTCTGAAGACTTTCCATGGCGAGCCATCACGGCCTCCAGGAAAAGCTTTGTGCGGGCTGACCACAGTAAAGATGGCCGCAGGGGCTTCACCGTGGGAACCGGGAGCGGCCGCCTCCCTTGACGTCAGGGGCACTTTTGCTTCCGTTTGCCGGGCGGGAAACGGCCAACCGAAAGCGGGTCGGGCGGCGTGTTCTGGGTTCTGATGCTGTTGTGTGCCGCAGCCGTCGCGCCCTCCTTCCTCCGGTCTACTTAAGCCATGTTTAAACTGTGAGGTGAAAGTGTAGCGTTTCAGAGCAGTCTGGGGTTTGCTCGGTGACGTACAGCGGCCCCGGCTCAGGAAACACCTGGGAGAGGAGCTGCCCGAGGCCCCGCTGCGGCAGGTGCAGCCGCGGGGGCGGCCCCGTGGGCACAGCCCTCGTCCGTGACGGCATCAGTCGGTACTAACGGGTGCTTCCTGGCCGGGACGTTTTATGGCCGCAGGGTAGGAGTTAAAGGGGTTCAGCCACTCTCCCCTGCGGCTTAGATCGCTTCCGGTTACTGCGGGCCGGTGCGAGGCTTTAGCCACCGCCGCCCGGGAGGGAGAAGCCAGCTGCCTTGTCCTTACTGCTGCTGGTTCAGAGTGAAACAGACGTGGGGCGCGGCTTGTCCCCCTCATTTAGCAGGTGACAGCGGAGAAGCGTGCAGGGCCGGAGCGGGCAAAGCTAGAATGCCTGCCGTCTCGTCTCGTCTCGTCTCTTCTCCTTCCCTTCCTTCTTCCCTCCCCCCCTTTTTCCCCTTCCCGCTTTCCTTCCTTCCTCCCTTCCTTCCTTCCTCCCTTCCTCCCTTCCTTCCTTCTCTTCCTCTCTCCCTTCCTTCTCTCCCTCCCTCCTTTCCTTCTTTCCCTCCCTCCCTTCTTTCCTTCCTTCTCTCCCTCCCTTCCTTCCTTCTTTCTTTTCCTCCCTTCCTTCCTTCCTTCTCTCCCTTCCTTCCTTCTCTCCCTCCCTTCTTTTCTTCCTTCCTTCCTTCTCTGCACCAACGTGGGTCAAACTCACCAGCTCATGAGATCAAGAGTCTCAGGCTCCACCGCCTGAGCTAGCCAGGCGCCCCTAAAACCAGATTTCTTAACCATGTTGGTCTGTCTTAGCTCAAGAGCTGTGCTGCCGCACAGGGTGGCCACTAGCCACTGGCAGCTTCCGAATGCTGGAAATGTGGCTGGCCTGACTGAGAAATTGAACTTCCAGTTGTTAAAAGAAGATCCACCAAGTAAATTTAAAGATCCGATTGTTTTATTAACCAATTCATGAATCAGGCCACACCCCATGTAGCAAGTACAGATTCACTCCCAGGAGTTGTACAAAATGTTTTCTTGTTTGTTTGTTTTTGTTTTTGTTTTTGATAGAGGATGGGGCAAGAAAGTTATTAGCAAAGGAAAAGAATTGTTCCAGAGGAGGCTGTTTCCTAGGGGGAAAGCAAGGGGTCTCATCCTGCAGATTACCTCATCTTTCAGAGCAGGATGGAGAGGACCCAGGTGACAGACTCACTTTTGCTGATGGGAAGGAAAATGTCTTGGCTGACCTAGTTAAGGCTACCTTCCTGGGAGGTTGAAATTGCAACTAACTGGGTATTACCTGGATTTGGAAAGTCTGTCTAAGTGACACCATTTTCGGCCTGTGGTTCCCCCACCCTTTTTTTAACAGTTTTATTTATACTGATATCCAGGGACATCTGGATGGCTCAGTTGGTTAATCGTCTGCCTTCCGCTCAGGTCATGATTCCAGGATCCTGGGATCGAGCCCCACATCGGGCTCCCTTCTCAGCAGGGAGTCTGCTTCTCCCTCTCCCTCTGCAGCTCCCCCTGCTTGTGCTCTCTCACTCTCTCTGACAAATAAATAAATAGATAACCTTTAAAAAAAACCTTTAAAAAAATAAATAAAAACTGATATTCACTTAGACTACTAAAAGCCTTTTTAGTATGTTTGGAACAACTTGGGTATGAAATCTACTTTTGCAATGACAAATGTTATAAGTTTAAAGGAAACATCAAGGATTTCTGGTTAAAAATTTAGCGTTTTAATTGAGATGGCCTGTATATGTAAATACATGCAAGATTTTGAAGACTTTTTAAAAGCGAAAATATCTCATTAATTTTATATTGTTTACATGCTGAAATATTTTTAATACACTGGATTAAACAATATATTTTAACATTAATATCACTCATTTCATTAATGTGTTTACTTAAGGAAAATTAAGTTTCACATATGGATCCCATTATATGTCTAAGGCCTGCACTTCTCCAGAGTTTACGTCTTTTAACTCCTAAGCAGAGAATCATTTTATTCTACTATGCCTTTTGAGGGGATGGTGAAACTTGAAACCACATCCAAAAACTGTGTCATACAGCTTGACTATCATGGTCTGATGAATAGATCTGAAATGACTAGGACAGTCTAGCTACAAATAAGACAGAGCATCCATTTATCTTTAATAGTTCATCAAAACAGGCTTGGGCATAGCTATTCACTGAGACACAGGATAACTTATATCACGCAAGAAAATCTTGCTGATGCCAGCAGGGAGGGTCTGAGGACCCAGAGGGGTCCTCCAAGAGCAGCCAAGGGGGTGTTTGGCTTCACATAGGATGGAAATCAAGAGTGAGACAGCAGGAGGTGAGAGAGGAGTTTACTGAAGATACAGAGAGAGCAGGAACATATCGGGCACCTGGGAGACTCAGAAAGAAAAGGAACATGAGTCTCATCTTTGTTTGGGGTCTGGGGTTTTGTGGAGGACCGTGGTCTGGTGTACGGGTCCCCCTTGGGCATCCCGGAGCCGTGAGAACAAAGACGAGGGCTCACTCGTTACTCCTTGGAGCCAGGGGTCTTGACGTGGAGATGTCTAGCTCAGGTGGCTGCAATACACGTGTGATTGCTTCATCCTCTCCTGCTCCTTCCTTAGATGTTCTCTGTTCTCGAGAAATCACCGACTCCTTGCCCCTCACGAGGAGGACATACGCTTTTGCATTACGAGGCATGCATAAAGCGAGGTGGGGGTGCAGATCTTAGCAAGAATGGAAACAGGAAGAGAAGGAAAAAGCAGATTTTTATGGAGTCCTTCAGTTTCTCTGTCTCACTGCTAGTCAAAGAAATGGAATAGCCACCTGCCAGTAATGTTTTTTTTCCCCTGTGATTCTTTTATAGGAGGTGAAGTGGGGTGGAGGAGGGGAGCTGAGGCGGGTGTCATTCACGAAAACTACACACTAGTCAGTTTGTCTCTTTTCCATACCATCTCTTTACAGAGAGAAGCCATGGCTTTTTTACACGCACTCTGTGTGTAATTGTGTGTGTATTAAACGTAGCAATCAGGAGGATGGTGAGAGGCTGTTAGAATAAATTGTCAAGTTCATGAGAGGTGGCATGGCTTATCTGCCCATTTCCTTACCGGTGCTAGTGACCGACCCAGTGGCCCCCACACTTCAGAGTGCATCAGAACCACCTGGGACCATGGCCTGTTAAGTCAGATGGCTGGGCCTCACTGCCTCCCCTCCCCATACTCAGTACTTCTGGGGTGGGAGTGGAGACTTTGCATTTCTGACTGGTTCTCAGGTTATGCCGATGTCCCTGATCTGGGGAGCCTATTTTTAAGAATCATTGATCTGAACAAATGGACTTGAAGTGCTTTTGTTTTGTTGTCCTCTGTTTCCATTTGTATTGAGTACACTCTGTTAAAAGGTATGAGATATGGGTGGTCTTTAGAGAAAACCTCTTACTATCTTCATGCTGCCTAGCAGAGCTAGTACATGCTGACCCCGCACTGAAGGTACCCGGGGCTCAAGCAATGGGGGAGCAGAGTGGCTGTGGAACTCTGGGGATGAACAGGCAGGGAGAGGACATGATTTTAGGTGTATGCTTTTTGCCATCGGTCTTCCATATTTTCTCTAGTCCCCTATTCCAAACTGGAAGAATGATTTGCTATGACCCCCTTCATAAAGGACCAGTCCGACCAAGCACATACCTCAATGCCCAGGACACATAAACTAATATTTCTTATTAGCCAAGTGGCCCAGAATTACTAAGAGCTCTTAGAAACCTGTGTATATTTCCTAGTACCAACACATAATTTTCACAGATCTACCTTGGAAGAACTTCCATTTTATATTGCTTTCTTTGCTCCCATAATGTTTACACTTCAGATATTTGTAACATGGCATAGAATCTGAAGAAAAATGTGCATGGCATCTTGCATGTTTAAGTGTTGATTCTTTCACTAAATCAAAATACCAAGTATACTGAGTGTGAGTAAACGAACATATCAGAACATATGGCCAAATGGGGGTCATTCTTCAAACTAATCACCTTTAGAAACTGTAAACTTTATTGATGCTTCCATTGTTCCAAATGATTTTTAAACTCCTACCCTGAGATTGTTGCAGGGCTCCATTTATAAGTCATACTGGAAAATTGGTATCTTAACTCAAAAGTACACCCTGTTTTAACAGAGTTATGCAACCAAATCACCTCTCTTTCAGACCAGACTTGGCAAAAACATGGTATGTAGCTATTTCCACATACCAAAACTTACATCAGAATATGAAGATTCTAGAGACTTTGAGAGTAGTACAGAAGATTCACCATAGATTGAGAAGACAAATTCCAAAGAGAGGTACTAAAAATATTTCTCAAGTTCTAACTGGCATTTCTGAAACAGTGTATGGGCCGTTCAAGAAATAGATCAAATGCACTCTTCCACGAAGTTCTCCCTGACCTTCCTCCTCCTTCCTCTAAGTTGGAAATAAGTTCATTTGCCTTTGCATATACAGCATCCCTTCTCTGTGTCTTTCTGATGA